TCTGTTCACAACGTTAAAAGTCGAAAAACGATTTTGATCAGGGTCGACTTTTGCCTTTGACAAAAATCTAAAAGTCGACTTTTACGCTCGACTACGTATACCTATACTGTTCTCGGTCCAGGACCAATGCCCTTACAACATAGTTATGTAGGGTATAGAAATTGACCGTTTGAGGAGGTGTAGTGAACCGATGGACCATCTTCTGACATGATATAGATTTGGCAACGAATTTTACGTTCTTCAGGAAAATGTTGACCCTGTTGTAGAAGAGGTAAACAGCAGAGTTAAACATGTGGGTAAACATTTTACAAAACCTGTTAATTTAGTCTAAAATAATCCATACCGACTAATTTGTAATCCAACAAAAGATGGAATTTTGAAACCTACCAAACTTTGTTCTTTTTTATCTAACTGTAAAAATTTAATAACACTCATGTTTCTTTCAACACAATTTCTTTATTGTTTTACAAACTTCTGTTGTTTTCAACATTCAGTAGGGGCGAGTGGGTGTGTGTGTGTGTGTGCGCTCGTTTGAGCAGAGTAGAGATAAGTTTTTGTTTTGTGTTTTCAAAATTGAAATTTCAGCTTGGATGTTTTATTTAGTTGAAAGAGTTTTTCTTGATCCTTGCATTGTTAGTTAGTGATGTGCTGATGTGCAGGTTTTGTTGTTGTTGTTGTGTGACTTCTGGCTATTTTGTTTACAGAGAAAATAAAACAAAACAACAAAAACCATAAGAACGGTACGAATACGAGTAGTAAGAGAAATTTCGAGTGGACAAAGGGATAAATATTTTTTGTTTGTATTCATCAATAAAGGATATGGATTTCAGTCATTCATTGTGATGGTGTTCCGAAATATACGTATATATATACAATTTTACTTTGGAATTATTTGTTACTTCTTTGACGTTTTATTCACCAACAAATACCCTGCTCTGTGGTCACTTCAAAAGGTGGTGAAGAATTTATCCTTCAGGCATAGTTGGTGGACTTTTATTGTTTCCCTTTGCCTTTGGCTGGGATATTACTTGATGCTGGGTTCTCCATACTAATGGCATTGAACAGAGTGCCACAGGAATAGTTTTGCAATATTTATTTAAATCCGAGTTTCCGGTGTTCGTTGTTTTGTTTTTTTTTTCTGCTATTGTTATTTGCCGCCACTCCATTTTTATGCAGCAGCTTTTTTGTTGTACTTGTTGTTGTTGTTGTTGTATTGAAATATCCTTGAAATGGTTTGTCGTTATAGTTTGTTTTTAGCTCAATCTATTTGGTTATTCACTGTTCTTTACAGGATATTCAATTTGTTTTATGTGTTTTTGTGTTGTGTTTTCGGATTATTTTACTTCTGGTGGGGTATTTGGTGAAGTGGTGGTATGGGATTTATTTTTAGTGATTTTTGTGTTCAATAAGTCAGGGATTATGGTTGGCGAACTTTGAACTTTAATAGAATATAAGAAATATTTAAAATCTGTTAGATGTGCTTTTAACATCTGTATACAAAATTCATAGGAAATGGGATCAGACAATAGGACAAAAATTTTGACATTTTTCAATAAACATCGAAGACATGTTAATAGTTGTATATTTCGGAACATATTATAATCTCTTTTCTACATCGCCCAATCTCAAATGCCAAAATGTTTGTATTTTTATTATTTTCATAATTCTCCTTCTTAAGCCAGTGCAATTATATCACTTTCATTTGCAAGCAATTGCAGCACTATTAAATATTTTTTTGCAAATAGATAACAACATAGTCCCCATATTCATAAACAGCCATAAGTAGAATTGTTTTGTTATTTTTTCTTCTAATCATTTGTCACAACAATTGATAAGATTTAATTTTCTTAGATTTGAATGATTTCTATATGTAGATCATGAACGCGTTTTGGCCACTTACCCCCTATGGAATATATAAAAAATAATATAAATTTTTTTTAACATTTTCAGTGTCAAATTAAAATTAGCGCAAAATATGGAAAAATGTCACAGAAAGATGAATGTTTTCAAAGACAACCAGTAAGGAAAGATCAAAAGTCGGACGGTCCCATATAGTCGAAACTTTACACTTTACCACTTTGGGTACAAACAAAAAATTATAAGGTGTACAATATCCTGTTGATAGAAGAGACATACCATCTTTGGGTGACCATTGACATGGAATCGGGTAAAAAACAAATGTGATCTACATAGATATTTGAGCCAATAAAAACCATACGCATGACATTCTGAAATCTATTAGAAAATTGCATATCAATAGCATAAATATTGGAAGTTTGATGCACCATTTACGTAAAATCTCAATATGGACCGATTTCGAGGAAAACTTCATAGATGTCAAACTGCCCCATCTGCTTGCACCCATGTTTTAGATCCATATAACAGCACGGGTAGTATCAGCGTCTTGTAAAGTGTGAGTTTGGTCTGGCGGGAGGTGGCCTTGTTTGTGAACTGCTTACTTAGAGCATAGTAGTATCTGCTCTTCTCCGAATTTCAAAACTGATGTTATTCGTTTTATTTATGGCGGTACCAATGTATTCGAGTGATATTTCCTTTAAATCAATTTCCCCCCATTGTCGGGGTCAAAATTTTTTTTATATAATTCGAATCTACACGAATTCTAGAATGTCCCTACAAACTTTCAAGTGAAAATCTCAAGAACTTTTGAAGGTATAGCCGATTTATTGTGTCAGCATCAAGTGACGGCTAAAGGGCTTCTCAAACTTTAAACGCGTTTTTCTCTTTTGCGAATGGCGGGCACGATAACTCAAAAACTAATAACCCAATCGATTCCAAATTTTTTTACGTTTCTCTATGAGTGTATAGCTATCGTATGAACTAGGATAAAGCCAATCGGTGAGGATCTTCCTTATTTTTATACCCTCCACCATATTATGGAGGGTGTATTAGTTTTGTTTTTCCGTTTGTAACGCATCGAAATAATCATTTCCGACCCTATAAAGTATATATATTCTTGATCAGCGTAAAATTCTATAACGATCTAAGCTTGTCCGTCTGCCCGTCTGTCTGTTATAATCACTCTAGCGTCTAAATGAATTTAGATAGAACCCCAAAAGAGTCGTCTTTTGTCTGCAGGCAAGTCAAGTTCGAAGATTGGCTATATCGGTCCACGTTTGGGCATACCTGCTATATAATGGCACCCCCAAATTTTCAGTATTTTGGGGTTCTTAAGCGCGTTTTTCAACCAAATTCGCTGAAATTTGGTTAATAGGCTCTTATTGGATACCAAATTTTTCAATTAAAAATTATAACTTTAGGTCCACTTTTTCTGGTAGCCCCCATACAACGGTCCCTCCCAATTTTCAGTTTTGGAGATGTTTTGACCGCATTTTTTCACCGAATTGGCTGTAATTTAGTAATTTGAGTTTTTATTGGGTATCAAATCTCTCCACAAAAAATTATAAATATAGGTCCATTTTTTTCGGGTAGCCCTCATATAAGGGTACCCCAATTTTCGGTATTTTGGGGTTCTTGAGCGCGTTTTTCAATCGAATTTGCTGCAGTTTGGTATTTTGTAGTCATATATGGTAACAAATCTCCCTACCAACAATTTTTAATATTCGCCCCCCTTTTTGGGGTAGTCCCCATATAACCCCCTTTTTATATTAAAATAGTTATCTGATTTGTTCCGCATTTTGAGTTTGGTTCTAAGACTCTCCTGCGGAGGATAGCGAGATAACAAATTAGAACGTAAGGTTCGATAGTCTCTGTGTGGAGGTTCCAGAAGGATTGGACCGATTTTCCCCATCTTCGAATTTGAACTAAGTTTGGAGAAATAATAATATGGGCAAAGTTTGGATGATATCTAAATTTTCTGAAACGGTTTTGGTCCAAAGAAACATGGGGCGTAGAACGACATTGAGGCACATTTTCACCGTGTTAAAGTGTATACACCCTCATTAGCCATAATGCTGAGGGTATAATTATCCATTATAAATAAATTTCTGAAATTTGTATTAAGATTTACATAATCCGTTTTAGAAATGTTTGTATAGGTCCACTTTTTGGTATGTTCCCTATATATTCATTTCTAGTACCTGTCAGTATATCTATGGTGGAGGGTATCCAAAGTTCGGCATTTAACAAACGAATGACATGTTTATGGATTGATTTATGTCGGTTCACAAGTTGTATTACGATGTTTGATACACAAAGATACTTACAGTCTAAAACCAGTATGATAAGGCTGAGAATAAACAAATACACACGTTGTTGGTTCGTGAAAAAATTGTTGTTAAAAATATGGGGCATTGAACTAGCAACTATTACGCCTAGATTATGTACTATTGACAGTCCAAACTATTATGTCTCGACTGTAGACTTTCTACCTATGTTTATTCCTAAGTGACTCTCAAACAAATATAACAATAATCTCAATAAGATATCAATAGTTATTTTGTAGCCGGCAACAGTTATTAACATGAAACCGAGCAGTAACAACAACGTCATAAACTATCCATAGAAACCCATATGTTCGTATTTCTTTACTAATCGCGTACAACGGACTTGATCAATTAGATTATCAATGAAGTACTCCACGAATGGCTGTGACAGAAGGAGAGTCACGCTACGTCCATATATTTTTTGTTTATTTGTTTGTTTGCATCTACTTGAGCATTCACTGATCCCTTGTTGCTTGTTTTTGTTTTGAGTACCCCACCTCACTTACCCAGTACCCCACATAAACATTGTTGTTGATTTGCGTACAACACGAGAGATTATGAGAGAAATAAATATAATAATAAAATAAAAAAACGACAGCTTATCTTTGATTAGTTCTTATTTCTGTTTCTGTGCTGTGTTTTGTGGAGTGTTAAACAATTGATGTTATCTTCCTACGGAGATGTTTTTATAGAGGTTCTGATTATTATTTCTGTTTTTTTTAAACACATATATTAGGTGCATAAATCTTAGTTTAAATACAGGGGATACAAATTAAAATTCTTATTTATTCATTGTTTAAATCCATGGAATATTACCTTTAAATTCTCTGGCCTTTCTTGGTCTATAGCCAAAGATACCCTTTTCACTGTGATAGCAGCAACGTTGCTGCCACTGCTGCAACAGGAGAGCCGATACGCGACCGGTTGATGGTTTGTTTTTCAAGTGACGTAGCATGTTTTATATTTATTCGATATATATTTGTTTCTATTTTATGTTCTCTTTGACAGAAATTTTTTGCACAATTTGAGAATTGATAAAATTTAATTAATGTGTTGTGTTGTTTTGTCGTCGTTATTTATTTGAATATGCAGATCTATACAGCTGATCTGTTTTGTCACACCACACTTCGATGTCCCCCAAACTGAGTGTGCGTTATAACACTTTCACTATCGTCTCGCTAAACCGAACCACACCAAAGTCAAACGCATACTGACTGGACTGTGATGTTGTCTGGCGGGCGATTGTCCCCCCCATGTAGTCGCCGTAGTTTATTTAGCTTTGTTGCTTGTTGCTGATAAGAAGGGGACCACAGCACTTGACAATTGTAAAGAGAAATGCGTTCCAAAACAAACTGGAAGAGTTTAATCGGATTTTATGTTGATCGATTGTTTAAGAGAATAATGTTACTCTGCGTGTTTACTCTTATCAGTAATAATTATAGGTTACAGTGTTGCCATTCTAAAATTAAAAATATGAGGGAATTATACCTTCATAAATCCAGTGGATAATATTTATCGTACACACTGTGGAATTGACATTTGAGATCGAATGGGGTTCGTAAATCTAAATGTATTTTTATACCCTTCACCACTCTGTGGTACAGGGTATTATGTCTTTGTAATATGCAGAAGGAAACGAGCTACACCAATGGTTCCTTTTGAGAATATGCATAGAATCACTTTCGGAGATGATTTATGCATGTTCTTCCTTTCGTTTGTTTGTGCAAAATTGTAAACAAATTACAAGTCTAATTTATGATCGAATTTGGATGAGATGTTCATATTTAGATATAGCTTCCATATATATTTTCTTCCGATTTTTTATGAATGGGGCACTAGATTTTAAATTGTAAACAAAGTACAGATCGCATTTATGATCCGATCTGGATGAAATTTGGAACAAGTCTCTTATTTGGCTCAAGGACTTATCCTATTGAAATTTGTGAAAACCGGTTCATATTTATTAGTTCCCATATATATTTTCGTCCGATATAGGCAACAAAGTCCCTATATATATTTAAATTTGCACGAAATTTGACATAAGGTACTGAAATATGTCCAGAATGATGTGTGCTAAGTTTCGTTAAAGTTGGTTCAGACATAGATATAGCTTCCATATATATTTTCGTTCGATATTATGGTGCACCAAAGTCCCTATATATCTTTCGATTTGCACTAAATTTGGCATTTCGCACTGAATTAAGCCTAGAATAATATGTGTTAAGTTTCGGGTAAATCGGGTTAGATTTAAATATAGCTCCGATTTATATTTTCGTCCGATTTAATGTAAATGGTGTACCAAAGCCCCTATTTATCTTTCGATTTTCACGAAATTTGGCATGGCGTACTAAATTAAGTCTAGAATGATGACGAAACTGAAAATCGGTTCATATTTTTATATAGCTGACGTATATATTTTCGTCCGATTTAATGTATATGTTGCACCAATATTCCTATATATCTTTCGATTGCCACCAAAACTGGCATAGCGTACTGTATTAAGTCTAGAATGAGGTGTGTTAAGTTTCGTGAATATCGGTTCAGATTTAGATACAGGTCCCATATATATATATATATATATATATGTCCGATTTTAGGTAAATGGTACACCAAACTCCTAATGTTTGTCCGATTGACACGTACCATATATATGTTGAACGGGTGTCTGATTGAGACTATATTTTTAACAGTGCGACATACTGCGTGTATTACGTTTGCTATAAATCGATTTCCATAATTTTGTCCCATTGTACGCTAGCGATTCTAATCTGCCCGATTGAAATTAAATTTAGCATAGGTTGCAGAAAGGTGTATGTTCCTTCGAGGGAACAATACAATATACATAAAGTGGTGAAGGGTAACATATAGTTGGCCCGGTCCGACTCTACTACTTTCCTTACTGGTTTTAGTAGGGAGATTGGCTATACCTTGACAATCCAAAATTTCAAATTACAGCCAATTCGGATGAAAATCATGCCAAACAACCCCAGAATATTGGGGGTACGATAATTTTTGGTAAGTTACATCCAATTTAGTTGGAAAATGTCTCTGAAATTCTTAAAGTATCTCAAATTTAAGGGTACTGTTAGAGTCTATACCGAAACGTGGACCGATATATCCCAATATCGAACTATAGCCCATTACTCAAATACCCATCGAAATGAGTATTTCGATGAGTTACAGAGGCAATGACAATCGATTTGTGTATAAATTTAAATTTTCCATACATATGTTAATCTTGCACATTGTATATTTTTAGAGGGGCAGAAAATTATAAATATAGGTTAATATTTTGCCATATCCTCTACATAAAATACCGCACCATTTTTAGTATTTTTCTATGGGGGTAATGTCGTAACATGGCCCGACATTTATAGTTTTTGGTAGAAACATTTGCCGATTTTATTGGGGGAAAAGTAAATTTCACATAGAGGGGGAAAACGTTATATATTTAAATTTTGAGGACTTTGAGCTTTACACCAGTTAATTTGTATATGAGTGATATTAATTTTATGATATTTTGATATTTAACTCAGCTAAGAAATTAAATATTTAATTGTTTTTTTTTTGTGTTTAATTCGTCATTTTTGATTCATTTCATTTTCAAAATCAGATTTCTGATTTAGAGCTACGGTCACTGATTGACAGCATCTTACTTACTTCCTTAGCTGGCTTGTTACAGTCGGGCGGGACCGACTATATGATACCCTTCACCACTTTGGGTATATTCAACAGATGAATGCTAACAGACGTCGAATTCTGCAACCTATGCTAAATTTTTGCATTTATTCAGATATAGGGTTGCTTTTTACAATGGGACAAAATTACCTAAAATCGGGAGAAAATATATATAGAAGCTCTATCCAAATCTGAACCGATTTCAAAACTTTCCGCATTTCAAAACTTTAGTACGTTGTGTTACGTTACACACATCACTCCAGACTCATTTCAGTACACTATGCCAAATTTTGTGCAAATCGAAATATGTATAGGGACTTTGGTACACCATTTACATTAAATCGGACGAAAATATATATAGGAGCTATATGTAAATCCAAACCGATTTTCAGGAAACTTAACGTGCACTATTCTAGACTTAATTAATTACGCTATGCCAAATTTCGTTCAAATCGAAAGATATGTAGGGACTTTGGTACATCATTTACCTTAAATCGGACGAATATATATATATATATATATATATAGGAGCTATATCTAAATCTGAATCGATTTTCAGGAAACTTAACACACATCATATTATACCTAATTCATTACGCTATGCCAAATTTCGTGCAAATCGAAAGATATATAGGTACTTTGGTACACTATTAACCTTACAGCGAACGGATATATATATGGGAGCTATATCTAAATCTGAACCGATTTTCAGGAAACTTAACACACATAATTCTAGACCCTATTCATTACGCTGTGTCAAGTTTCGTGCAAATAGAAAGATATATACGGTCTTTGGTACACCATTTACCTTAAATCGAACGAAAATATATATGGGAGCTATATATAAATCTGAACCGATTTTTCCCAATTTCAATAGGGTTCGTCCTTGGGCCAATTAAGTGACTTGTGCCAAATTTCATCAAATCGGATCATAAATGCGACCTGTACTTTGTTAACAAAAATACATGGACGGACGGACATGCATTAGTCGACTCAGGAAGTGATAATACCCTGTACCACAGTGTGGTGAAGGGTATAAAAAGATTTCCAAGTGCCTCTGTCTTGTGCGCATCTCCTCCAATTTTAAAGACCACGTTCCAAGATGTTGTCTTCTACTTGGCCTTTCCATCGTGGCCTTCCCCTTCTACGGGAACCATCAGTAGGCTCGCTTTTATATGCCTTTTGAGCTGGGCATTCTCATTCATTCGCACAACATGGCCTAGCCTAACCGTAGTCGCTGCAGCTTAATACGACTGACAATGTCAATGTCCACATATAAATTGTAAAGCTCGTGGTTCGTTCGATGCTGATATTCCGTATGCCGTAGATCTTTCGGAGAATTTTTCTCTCAAACAACCCAAGAGCTGCCTCATCTGCTTGCGCAAGTACTCATGCTTCAGATCCATATAACAGCACGGGTAGTATCAGCATCTTGCAAAGTGTGAGTTTGGTCTGGCGGGAGGTGGATTTGTTTCTAAACTGCTTACTAAGAGCGTAGTATCATCTGTTGGTTATCACAATCCTTCTCGGAATTTCAAAATGAGGTCATTCGTTTTATTTATGGCGCTGCCAAGGTATATAAAATCTTTAACTACCTCGAAGCTGTAGGTCACAAGTTCCACAATTGGTCCGAGTCAACTGGACGTCTTGTGAGTTGATACCATTAGTTTGGTCTTTTCGCATCTAGGAATCATAAATTTTGTTGGGAGCATTTGCTAAACAATTAAATCTCGAAAATTCCGATAACTTGATAAACTTATAACTTCAAAAAGTCGGATCCTATGATCGTATATTTTTATTCTCTATGTCCTCTGTCCATGAAAATATCATGGCCCTACTTTAAGCCGTTCGGTATGAATCACTTGTAGTTTTTATAAATATAAATCGGCAAATTATTATACCCTATACAACTATGTTGTCAGGGTATTATAGCTTTGTGCAGCCCCAAGAGTTTGTAACGCCGCGAAATAGTGGTCCTAGACCACCTTTAAGTATACCGATCGTTATATCTCGACTAGCTGAGTCGATCTAGACATGTGTGTCCGTCCGTCTGTCCATTATAATTTGAAAACACGATACAGGTCACAGTTATGGACCAACCTTCACGAAATTTTGCATGTAGAATGAGTTCTGGCCAATGAAGACCCCTATTTTTTGGTAAAGATCAGTTAATATTTAGGGGATGAAATCGACCAATAACTTTATTTTTGTCGGTTTTTCTGGTCGCTCCAGAGGCCGCAATTGTAGCCCGAACATCGCGAAATTTCACATGGAGAAGGGGGTCGGGCCAAGGAACAAGCATACCTGTTTTGATAAAGATTGGGCAATATTTAGCGGGTCAAATGGACTCAGAGTTTTGTGTGAAAAATTACAAAATTTGATCAGATAATAATTTTGGGATGAATTGGACCGAAAACTTAATTTGTTTTTGTTTTTTTTCGAGGCGATTGAAAGCCGAACATCACAACACAACCCATGGGGAAGGGAATCTGGACAAGTAATAAAAAGGGGTGAACTGAATATTAGTAACTTCTTGTTAACCTCAAGTCGGTCAAGAGGATGCAAATACCGCGAAATATTGCCCAAGCTCAGAATATAGAACCACACAAAGTTAGATTTTCGGCCCCGTCCGACTATACTGCTCCGCTCACTGTTTTTTTCTTAGATATTGTATTAAATATTTTATTTACTTTCTCGCATTTCTATAAATAATGTTCAAATTTTATGAATGAAATCTAACAATGCGAAATTCATTCATATCTGCTACTACTATTAAAATGTATGATTCATACACCTACTATTTCAACAGGTTCAAAATCCCCCTTATATCAAACAGCCGGAAATAAATGCAGTGATAAAGAAAGCAGCAACAATTCCGAAAAATACTGGGAATAGTTCGAAAGTCAATACAAAGAAATGCGTACTGGAATTACGACTACTGCTATCGTACCCTCATACCATAGATAAGATATGAAATGAGAAATTATATTTTTCGAAATTACAGGTGGACTTGGAGGCTTCTAGCAGTAGAGGCGACAACGCCCCGACTTTAGTCTGATTTGAACGTTGGAACTGTGTTAACGTGTTTTTCGAACGAAACGGTAAAGTGTGAACAAATAGAAACTTCAAAACAACAAAAACAACTCTGATTATATTTTGTGTTCTTTGATAATAAAGATATTTTCCCCCAAAAGCCATTTAAGGCACTGATAACAAATTAGTATTGGAGCCCCGAAAAAAATAAAAAAGACCTGATAAGACAGATATCGAAACGTTAACGAATAGAAAAAATATGGCTTATTTTCTACATTGATGTGTTACGAAAAGAAAGAAACGGAATAAAAGAATATTGAAAATAAAAAAAATAGAAATGATGTCATAAATTACAAATTTTGAAATTTCAAATTAATGTAAAAAAAGGTTTAATAATAATTCTGTTTTTTTTTTATTACAGTGAAAAAAGTTAACACCAGTTTAAAACAAAAAACGAAAAAATAACTTTTTTATAAACGAAAAACGAAAATACAAACGAATTATTAATTTTTAAGTGAAACCCGCTAGAATGCGTTTTAAACTCTTTTTGGCCAGTTTACTGGCATGCGGCTTTATAGCCTTTGTAATTGCCAATGAAAACATCTCACAAACCGAAACTGAAAGTGTTACTCTCAACAAAGATAAGAAAATCGAGGGAAGTACAGTGCTGGACAAAAATGAGGCCGTGGAATTAATTGAAATTTTACCGCCACAGCCACAGCCCCAGCCGAAACAACAACAAAAACACCAACATACAGCGCCCAAAGTAGCTTCGACAGCGGGATCGATTGCCGCCAATATGTCGCAACGTTCTGGCGCTTTACAAATGGCTGACTTCTATTTGGGCGAATTGGGTTATGATATTGTCAATGATAATGGTTACAATTGGGGTAAGTTTTGATTTCATTTTTTACTTTTTTATGGATATTTTCTATAAAGGGATTTATGATTTTAACGTAAATACTGAGCATATAACAAATAAAAATCTAAAGAACGGACACCCAGGTTGGAAACTGGGCAATACCGAGAATGACGCATAGCGCACTTATATTGGAAATATTCTGTAAAGAATTTGTTTATTCTCCAAGTTAGATAATTCGTCTAGGATCCACTACACATATATAAATTTTCTGAACCTTTATATGGGGGCTACAACCAAAGATCCGCCAATATTGATTGTTTTCGTAGCAATATTTGCAACCCAATGAGGACCCAAAATATCAAATTTTAGCCAATGAAACATCAATACACTGAAAATTGAGGGTAAAATTATATGGGGGCTTTACTGAAACTACAACCAATATGGAAAATTTTAATGGAATGATTTTCTACCCATTGAGAACTCCAAACGCCTAATTACAGCCAATACTGCTGAAACTCCCAAAATACCGAAAATTTTTAGTTGCCGATATGTGGAGACTGCTCTCCAATTTTGAGCCAATATAGACTATTTTGGTAGGGATATTCTTTACCTTAATTTGGAATCCAAAATATAAAATTAAAACCAAAAAAAAAAAAATACAAAAAATTAAGTTTCGGTCCTCTTAATCCCCAAAAATTATTATCTGACCATCGCCGAAAATTATAGGCGTTGTCTTTGACCATAACTGGAACATCATTGAGAACCAAAAAATATTTTTTCTCTCGTTATCCTATACCATCATTAGCTATTGAATAGTTCTACGACTTTTAAGGATTTATAAAGAAATTCGTTCACAAATTGAGAGCTTTTCCGTTTTCATACTATTTTCTATAAACTTCATGATAACAACCATTGCAAATAAATGTGATGAATAAATAAAAAATGAGTGATTTAATTCTTAAACGTCATAGAATTTGAACGACCAGGATTAAAAAATCACATCATCATATTGTTTTACTATGCATACACTTATTTTCAAATTTCACTTTATTAACGTGTTAAAAAATGTCCAATAACCCTGAACATACTGTAAATTTAAGGATGTCCGTAATATAGGGGCCGCACTGAAACGAGGATCCATGTTAATATTTTTTTGGTAAATAAATGTTGGTAAACCCAAAATATCAAAGTACATCCGAATCGGTTAAAAAATGTTTTAACAATACTCAAAATACGAGGTACTGTTACATGAGAGCTACAGTATAAAGTGGACCAATATTGACCATTTTTTGTAAGGAGATTCTCCGCCCATTAAAATCCCAAAAAAATTACAACATACTGAAATTTTTATTGTATCGTTTTTTGGGGGCTACACTGAAAAGTGGTTCAATATTGATAATTTTTGATACAGACATTTAATACCTAATGAGAATCCAAAATATCAAATAACAGCCAAATTTGATATTTTGGATTCTCATTAGGTATTAAATGTCTGTATCAAAAATTATCAATATTGAACCACTTTTCAGTGTAGCCCCCAAAAAACGATACAATAAAAATTTCAGTATGTTGGAAAATTTCAGTATGTTGTAATTTTTTTGGGATTTTAATGGGCGGAGAATCTCCTTACAATCATTAGGTATTAAATGTCTGTATCAAAAAGTGTTCAAAATATAGAACATTTGGAGGTACCGTTATATGGGGGATATGCCTACACGTCGACTGATATAGCTCTGGCACTTCTGTGCAAATTTTTGGACAGCTAGCTCAGTTTATGCAGATGCTATAGTGATAACAACATACTGGACATGGACATGGCTAGATCATGGGGTCAGAAACGATTATTTTGAAAAAACCAACATACAACGATGGAGGGTGTAAAAATGGGTAAAAATATGCTGAAGCCAACAATTTTTTTGTCTTTTGCTAATTTATGACTAAAATACACCATTTACAGACTTGTACTCAAAGACTGAATTGAAGTACACCATATTGGCAATATAGTTCTAATGTATGATTTTTCGATATTTCCACCGCATTCAACTAAGCCTGTTTTGAAGCCAAAATTTCCCTGTTTTCGGACGAGCTAATTGAGATTTAAAAGTTTTCGAAATATTGACCCTTTGTAGGGGAGATACTAGAAGGAGTGGACTGGAATGAGTCCCATTTTCTAACATTATACAGTTCAAATCGGATAGTCAGTTCGCATTATATTATAAAACTAGCATATACCCGCTACTTCGTCAGCGAATGTGGAAAGTATTTAAAACCCAATAGCAACCAATATTAACACTTTTAGAACCGTTTAGTACCAATGTTCTGTTATAGTACTTAACCCTACACAAAAATTTTCTGACCGCAAAAGAAATCAAGCTCTACACAAAATTTCGTGTAATTTTTTACCCTTTGTACTCTTGTTAAATTTCCAAATTTTAAATATAGCTTCACCCAAATCCAAATTAAGTACCAGTTAGTAAACATAAATTGCCATAACTTCCTACATTAACATACGAATTTCCAACACTTCCCACATACCCCAATCTTAATTTCAAATTTCAGGATTCTATCGGTTCACCTAAATCCAATTTATTTCAAAATTTAGTGTCATTTAATACACATAGGTACAAATTTCCATTACTACCTACATCATGCAATCCAATGATCCTAACTTCAAATTTCAAGATTCTAGCTCTATCGGTTTACTCAAATCCACATTTGGTACTATTTTGAAACTGTAACCCAAACTGTAACCCTAACTCCAAATTTCAGGATTCCAGCTGTATTGGTTCACCAAAAAATTAAATTGTACAAAATTTAGTACACATTTGTACGAATTTTTAAATACCCCAATCCTACACCCCACAATGATCCTAAATCCAAGTTTCATGATACCAATTCTATCGGTTCGCCCACAATTCAAACACATACCCCGATCCTACACCCCCATAGTGATGCTAAATCCATGTTTTAAGATTCAAACTCAATCAGTTCACTCACAATTCAAATTGTACCAAATTTAGTACACAGTAGTACTAATTCCCAAACATCTTGCATACCCCAATCCTACCCCCACACTTATCCTAAATCCAAGTTTCAGGATTCCAACTCTATCGGTTCACCCACAATTTAAATTGTACCAAATTTAGTACACATTAGTACAAAATTTTTAAACTCCCTACATATCTCAATCTTACACCCAACAATGATCCTGACTACAAATTTCATGATTCTAGCTCAATTGGTTCACCTAAAATTCAAATTGTACCAAATTTAGTACCAGTTAGTACGAATTTCAAAAACTTCCAACTTAACCCAAACCAACACCCCCACAGTGCTCCAAAATCTAAATTTCATGATTCCAAATCTATCGGTTCGCCCACAATTCAAATTGTACCAAATTTAGTACACAGTGGTACAAATTTCCAAAACTTCCTACTTAACTCAAACCAACACCGCCACAGTGATCCTAAATCCAAGTTTCAGGATTCCAATTCCATCGGTTCACCCACAATTTAAATTGTTCTAAATTTTATTGTTCACGCTCTATCGGTTCACCCAAATCCAAATTGTACCAATTATAGTACGATTTAGTACTTTTCGTACACATAAGTAACAAATTTCCAAAACTACGTACATATCCCAATCCTATACTCCGACGGTAATGTTAATATCAATTTTCAGAATTCCAGCTCGATTTGTACCTCTAAATTAAATTTGTACCAAATATAGTACCATATAGTACTTTTCGTACACATGAGTACAAGGTTTCAAAACCATCTCCTCATATCGACCCTACTTCCCAACCCTAATTCGCATTTCAAATTCCAAGCTTTTAACTCTATCCGTTCACAGGCTACAGAATTGTACCAAATTTAGTACATTTACGTACTTTTCGGATAGTTATAGTTCGAATTTCCAAAAGCCCTTTGGTACATCTATCCTACACTCCATCATCGACCACCAAACCAAATTTCAGAGTTCTAGCTCCACCGGTTCGCCAAGTACAAATGACATCACATTTAGTACGTTTTAGTACTTTTCGTACCGTTCTAGTACGAATTTCCAAAAACCCAGCCTTATCTGTCACATTTGGACCAAGAATGACCCTCAACCAAAATTTCAAGATTCTAGCTTCAGCCGCTTCGTCTGGGCGTTGATGAATCGTTAAATCAGTCAGTCAGTCAATCACTTTACTCTTTTATTAGTATAGATTAATAGATTAATTTTCATCAAAATGTTTGAAGGAAATCGGTAACTCCCTTCGAGAGCCATTTTGTACATCAGCCAGCCTGATATTTGTAAATGAGTCCAAATTGTCTGAAACGGATTTGGTCCAAAGAACCATGGAGTAAAAAACCAATATTTCGATGAGGCACATTTTTGCCGTAGCAAAGTATATATACCTTCATTAGCGGTAAGGCGGAGGTTATAATAAAAACATTTTTTCTTAATCTATGCATCAAAAATTATACAAAGTCTAGTACTTAAGGGAACCCTCCCCCCATTCTCGGGGTCAAAATTTTTTTTGATTTAATTCGAATCTACACTAATTCAAGAATGTCCCTACAAAATTTCAAGTGAAAATCTCAAGAACTCTTGAAGATATAGCCGATTTATTGTGTCCACATCAAGTGACGGCTAAAGGGCTTCTCAAACTTTAAACGCGTTTTTCTCTTTTGCGAATGGCGGGCACGATAACTCAAAAACTAATAACCCAATCGATTTCAAATTTGTACACGTTTCTCTGTGAGTGTACTGCTATCGTATGAACTAGGATAAAGCCAATCGGTGAAGATCTTCCTTATTTTTTAACTTGGTTTTTGGTCAAAAATCGGCGATTTTTCAAAAATATTTTTTCAAAGATCCGCCATTTTGTTAATTTTAGAGCGAAGTCAATAATCCTAGTTAATACGAGAGCCAGACATGTACTCTTTCTAACGCCGTTGAAATTTTCGGAATTTCCAGTGAGGAGATATCATGCCCGCCATCAAAAATAAGGACTTCTCTTTAATTACAAAAAACAACAAC